GAGAAGGGCTCACAGTATTGTTCAGGCTGGTCTCAAACTCCCGGCCTCAAGTGATCCTCCCACCTTAGCCTCCCAAAGTGCTGAGATTATGAGTGTTAGCCCCCACACTTGATTTAGATGGGATGTTTAACCCATGGGTCTGGAAAGAACAATCACCGTGGCTAACATTTACTGAGTTCTTACTAGTTAACATGCATTGTGCTCCATAAACATCATCTCATTTAATCCTGCATAACCGCACGCGATGGGTACTGTTATTAGCCTCATTTTATCTATGAGAAGACTGAGGCCCAGAAAAGTTAAATAACTTGCTCAATCCTTCGTAGTTAGTAAGCAACAGAGTCCAGTTCCAGTCACCAGGGCCAGGGACATAATTTGTAGGGCTCACTGCAAATTGAAGTGGGGTCCCTTGCTAAAACACCAAAATGGCTTAAAGCTGAGAGCATTAAACCAAGCACAGGATCCTTCTACGTGTGGGTCCCGTGGGACTGCACAGGGGGCATATCCATAAAGCAGGTCTGCCAGGGTAGACAGTCTGGTGATCATAATAAGAAAGCGCACTGTTAACAAGTGAGGCTGCATGACACACAGTTGGGCAAAGATTGGACTTTGGCATGTAAACAGCAAATGGAAGCTTTTGTGCGTGCTCCTCAGGCACAAGTCATCCTCTTTTATTTTATTTTTTTAAATTTTTAAAAATTATACTTTAAGTTTTGGGTACTTGTGCAGAATGTGCAGGCTTGTTACATAGGTATACACATGCCATGGTGGTTGGCTGCATCCATCACCCCGTCATCTATATTAGGTATTTCTCTTAATGCTATCCCTCCCCTAGCCCCCCACCCCCAGACAGGCCCCAAAATGGGTGATGTTCCCCTCCCTGCGTCCATGTGTTCTCATTGTTCAACTCCCACTTATGAGTGAGAACATGCGGTGTTTGGTTTTCTGTTCTTGTGTCAGTTTGCTGAGAATGATGGTTTCCAGCTTCATCCATGTACCTGCAAAGGACATGAACTCATCCTTTTTTTTTTTGAGACAGAGTTTGGCTCTTGTTATCCAGGCTGGAGTGCAATGGCGCAATCTTGGCTCACCACAACCTCCACCTCCTGGGTTCAGGCAATTCTCCTGCCTCAGCCTCCGGAGTAGCTGGGATTACAGGCACGCACCACCATGCCCAGCTAATTTTTTGTATTTTTAGTAGAGACAGGGTTTCACCATGTTGACCAGGATGGTCTCGATCTCTTGACCTCATGAGCCACCCGCCTTGGCCTCCCAAAGTGCTGGGATTACACGCTTGAGCCACCGCGCCCGGCCCGAACTCATTCTTTTTTATGGCTGTATAGTATTCCATGGTGTGGAATATGTGCATATATGTGCCACATTTTCTTTATCCAGTCTATCGATGATGGACATTTGGATTGGTTCCAAGTCTTTGCTATTGTGAACAGTGCCGCAATAAACATAGGTGTGCATGTATCTTTATAGTAGAATGATTTATAATCCTTTGGGTATATACCCAGTAATGGGATTGCTGGGGCAAATGGTATTTCTAGTTCTATATCCTTGAGGAATCACCACACTGTATTCCATGATGGTTGAACTAATTTACACTCCCACCAACAGTGTAAAAGCATTCCTATTTCTCCAAATCTTCTCCAGCGTCTGTTGTATCCTGACTTTTTAATGATCGCCATTCTCACTGGCATGAGGTGCTATTTTGTTGTGGTTTTGATTTGCGTTTCTCTAATGACCAGTGATGGTGAGCTTTTTCTTATATGTTTGTTGGCTGCATAAATGTCTCCTTTTGAGAAGTGTCTGTTCATATTCTTTGCCCTTAAATGCCAGCTTTCTCTTCATGAAGGACATGGAACTGTTTTCTAGCCAGAGGTGAACAGATCTGAACTCATCTTGAGCTCATCTTAATGCACATTCATTATGCCTCCCCTTGGCTTTGTCCCTGTGGAGCTGGTTGTCTTTTGCTGAAAGTCACCAGAAGCCAATTGGTGGAGATGCTCCTTGGACTCCTTTGGATTTACTTAAATCCAGTTATAATGTTCTGGGCTAGTTCTACTGGACATTTACCCCTGTGCCATCCCCTCTCATTTCCCAGCCTCCATTGCCCCAACTGTCCTGAGAGATACCCACACCTCACATTCAACTGGAGGTCCACCCAAATCACGGAGCCAAATCCAGCTCCAGGTATAGAAGTCTTGTCCCTTGTCCTGGTGCTGTGGGTGCTGTGGGAGAACAGTGAAGTTTCTGGAAAGAAAATAAGAATCAACCACCTGTTTTCTCCTGGGACTGAGTTTTCCTAGAGACATATTGCTCAGAAATAATTCCTTCCCACAGAAAAGCACAGGACAAACTTATAATTGCTAACACTGGGTGCTTAGTTTGCATGTTTCACAGGTATTTAATATTTACATGTAACTCTTGCTTTGCACATAACTCATTGAATCTTTAATAGCTGTAGGTAGGCTATTTAATAGCCCTGCCTTTTAGATGAAGAAAGTGAGGCAGAGAGATTAAGAATGTGCCCACGACCTGAGAGTTAGTAAATAGAAGAATCAGAACAAAAATCTGTGTAGTCTCTAGTTCTAAGCCTACAGACAACTGTCACACCTTACTTCAAAGTTCTACTCAAGCATTCTGGAAGGATGGGCAGGGCAGTCAGACAGATGGGGAATAACTAGATCCCCACATCCAGGAATGTGGTCTTCCTACTGCCTCAGAACAAAGCTCTAAAGTGTAAGTGCTGGAATTCTCCCAGAGTGACAGGGTTGAGGGTTAAATGGTCTTTCCTTATAGTTCACCAAAGGCATGGAGCACAAATACACTCACACATGTGCCCATGCATGAGACACAGAGTCACTCAAGAATGATGACTTTCTGTCCACTAGGCAGTGTGTCACCGAAGAAAGACGGCTGTGAATACATTTAAAGGCTTGTTTGGATATTGCATCACTCATGCTCTTACCCAAGAACTTTGCTTTAATTGTATTTTAATGTTCTGGTCAACAAAACACTGAACAAATAAGGAACCAATTATGATGATGATAATAATAATAATAATTGTGTCGATACAGTACTTTACCGCTCATTGATTTTTTTCCCCCTGCGTTTTCCTTGAGTACCTCTGACACTGGATTTATAGAGGTTAAGTGCATCTAAGAAGGAACAGGTAGTGTGAGGTGGAATTGGATCCGGATCTTTCATCTCCTCACCTCTCCCTGAGGCTCTATGGTAAGGCACAGTGCCTTACCCAGGAGGTGGAGGTGGTCATCTCTGAAAGCTGGAGGAAGTAGGTATAGCAGTTGTCACGATTAATGAGATGCCTATTCATCCGGTTCCAAGCCTCCATTTCTTTGCCTGTGTCTGCAATATGTTTCTTTCTGAGATGCTTGGACAACTTATATGCCCTAAAATTAGGCAATCGTGAGACAGTTAAGCTGGGGTCTTCAGTGTTTTCACAAGTTATTTGGATGTTTCCAAGAGTCACCACAAAGATACATAAAGTGAGACTGTAGAGGCTCATTTATTTCCTTTTCAAAAGGGCTAGCTTAACGTCAGCTCAACCATTATAGTAGGGGATGTTTGGAAAAATGATTTTGTCCCAGTCCCTGAAAAGTACCTAAGAAAAGTTCTGAGAGTTCTTTTTTTGCATATTTAAATCAAAATCCTGGTGAATAAAAGAAATACAAAATGAGGAAGACTAGCCTGAACACTCACTTTAGAAGTGGATGCTGTGATTTACATTATTTGTTATAAGAGGTTTGAATGATTCAGAACAGAAGATTGCAAAGGAAAGTAGCCAGGTGACTCATTCCCAAAGGCAGAAGGCAACCATGAGTTCTCCCGGCCTGTGGGTGGCTGAATGATGGACTAACCATCAACATTTTTTAAAAATCATGTTGAATTCCCAACCTGCCAGTAACTGTGGACCCAATAAGTCACTAATTGCATGGATTGAGAAACAGGCGCCACATGAGTTACCCAGATTTGGGAGAATGGTTAGATTACTGTCCAGATACTTGTTAACATAAGATTGTCATATGAATTGGCACAAAAAATGAATATTAATTTAGACTTTCATCTGCATATAAAGTATGCTAATGCCTTTTTCTTCCAGCAGTACTTTAGCCTCATCCATATAGAGTAAGCCCAATACTCATTATAGATAAGTTACTTATGTACTTGCGATACTCTTAAGAATGTACATGTTGGCATTTTCAAAGCACTATTTGAAATACATGTTAGTAGAAAAAAGATTCTCTTGTATTCAAACATCCATCAATAAACATTTAGCACCTTAGTACCCTCAATATGAGAGGTGGTTGGGAGGAGGGGCAGAACTGAGAGATGATGTGGAGCTCCTGGTAAAGAGAAAAAAGGACCAGCCAAGGCTAAACTTTACTGGCAGTGGGGAGAGGCAGCACAAAGCCTTCCCTTCCCCATTCTTTCCTGTTTTCAGGCTTCCCAGAGTAGGCGTGCACAATTCATGAGTCCTTTGTAAATTTGTACTAAACCACATTTCCTCTTTAATATGGGGTACCCATCACCCTTCAAAACAGCCACAGTCTGTCCAGGTGGAGCTCACGGGTAAGACTGTGAAAAAGAAGCTCTTGTCAAATCTAAAACATGCAGTGGTGATTGCTTTCCAGGTGTTCAGGTGTCTCTAAACTAGACATGTCCATGATGCTTGGTGTTTCAGAAAAAGGTGGTATCACTTTTTGTTGGAAATGAAAATGAAAATTCTGAGTGACCACAATTTTCCTAAAATGTGTTATTATCCAAGAAACCTTGAAACTGTTTATAAGGTGAGAAGGAAGACAAGCAATGGAACCATGTTTTGAATTGTATACCGCCTCTGAAATGAAGTTCTACCCCCTAAAGCTCAAAAAGTGGGGGAAATATACAAAGTTTTCTAAAAAGTCTGTGAGTTCCTTGGTCAGTATGCTAATTTCTCTGCTACTCTCCCTCTTTTTAATATTTCTCACCAGGGTATGGGAATATTGCTCCGAGCACTGAAGGAGGAAAAATCTTTTGTATTTTATATGCCATCTTTGGAATTCCACTCTTTGGCTTCTTATTGGCTGGAATTGGAGACCAACTTGGAACCATCTTTGGGAAAAGCATTGCAAGAGTGGAGAAGGTCTTTCGAGTGAGTACTGCATCATATTTCAGTTCTAACCACTGTGATTCAGTTGGCGTTAGCCTGACAGTATCCAGGAGGCAGTATCAGGGGCATTGTCTGCTTTTAATGGAATAGTTTAATATTATGATGGTATTTTCTGTTTTGGCCAATGGAAGTCAAAGATCTTGCACCTAAACTCTCTTCTTTGAGTAGCTTCCTATTTTAGAGTGGTATTTCTACAATCATGACACAAGAAAGTTAAGTATGGATTTGCCAACCCAGATATTTTGAAGATGTGAGACAAACTCAGTTTCTCCTTAAAGATGGAAGAGAGGTTCCTCATTGGGTTTGTAATGAGGTAGAAAATTATAAATCCATCCATTTTGTTGTTGGAATTCCCTCACTCCATTTTATTGTCAAGCGCAGTGTCTTTGGGCTAATCCTGCTTCCTCCAGAAGCTTGACTTCTCCAGACACTGCTCTGGGCTTTGCACCTGTCTGCAGTGGTCTCTCCCTCTCCCATCTCTCACTGCTGAGTGCTCCTTCAGAAATGGCACCTTGATATACTACTTCCTACTGAACTGCTGATGACTGCTATTGCCCTAGTGGGCTTTTTCCTCTCTAGAATATTTGTCTTTAAACAAGAGACAACGATCTCAACTCAATGCATTTATTTACTAAAATTAAAATTAATTAATAAATGATTCCAGGCATCAGTAACAGGCATGAGTGGTTGGGTGATTAAACCGGCGTTCCCAGTAGCCTTTAACTCACACTCATTCATATGGTTTCACAGAAAACTTGTTTTGCTCAGGTGTAAGGTCATTTCTGCTCTCTTACTCAGTACTAACCTAATGCTCAAGTCTTTCAAACCATCCTCTGGGAATTCTTTCTTATGATGACTTAATATTTAAGAATGACATTTCGAGGTCTTTTCTAGGATCTAGGAATGGTGGGCAAAGGTAGATCAGCTTGGAACTCTAATGCTGTGCTTTTTTTCCCTTGTAAGAACTCTCAAACTTTGAGCTCAAGGCTGTCTTTGCAATAATGGCTTATACTTCTTTTTAGAAGAATGCAAGGGAGCTTTCAGATGAGCAGTTTCAGAAGTTTCTTAAAAAGAGTAGGATGGGAGGAATGAGGCACCAGAGCTGGGGGAGCCATTTATAATCTCACTGACCCTGAGTCAGCCGCCTCAGTTTACTCATTCACAAAAGGGGATAAAATTTGAATCTATTTTGTCAGGTTTTGGTGATGATTAAATGAAATAATGTGTGGAAAAGAGCTTGTCACAGGGCAGACATATAGAGTCCAGAGCTTCTATGTGTCTCTCCAAGAGAAGCCCTCGTAGGCAGGCTAGCCATTCCTCCAGCTTTCATCTGAGAGCTCTGTGGTGTGTGAGTTTTTCTGGAATGTCCCACAGCCTTTGCTCCTTAATGCTGGCTGGCTGGTGGCCTCATTAGAGCATGCACCTGGGCTCCTCAGTAGTCGCCATGGAAACCGTCAGTACTCAGCTTCCCTGATTTTTCAGATGTTTAGGTCCTCCTAAACCAGACATGGCAGCCCTGTCTCTAAGAACTGTTTTGAACTTCTTAGAGGCACCCTCTTAGCTACTACCTCATGGCCCTCTGACTTAGAGAAGAAAGAATCTGGTGGATGGAACACTCAGAACAGGATTCAGTTGGGGAAATGACTGATCTGGCATTTTTATTTTTATGTAGCTTCTTTAGATCTGTTTCCTTATTTGTAGAAGAAAGGATTAGACTAAAAGTTTTTGAAATCCTCCTTAGCAGAAAAAAATTCTAGTTACTATATTCAAAATGACGGAAGAGGTTGCAGTCATTTGGACATCTACTACTAAATGTAGGGACTTAGTCTTCCCTAATGAATTTAGACCACAAATAGAGTGTACGGTTCTCCTTCCCTTTGAAGCTGCCTGTTACATGGATCATCAGCAGATTCTTAGACAGAGACTTAGAAACCTCACATTTCATCTTTATGCTGATTGTCCACTCAGCTCCTTGCAGCACCGTCAAAGATCAGGATTCTTTTAAGAAGACGAGACAGTTGCATATTATTGAATGGGCAGTGCACAATGAATGCATTTGCTGAGTGTTGGAGGGTGCTATTGGAAAAGGTGACCAAATTCAAGGGGAATGTTAGCACACTTCCTAAATATACAAACAACTGAGCCTGTAGCAGTTTGCTTGCTGCATGTAAAGTTTTGGAAGAAAATCTCAAAGTTTTCTGCCATTGATTTAAACTATATTTAAAAGTCCAATTATGTTTAGGTGGTTGAGAAGTGAAAATTGTATAAACTAACAAAGCTCGGGGTTGTGAATTTTTAATTCTTATGGGGGAAGGTTTATTTATTTATTTCATCTGCTCAATGAGTGTTAAACCCCTCTCTTGATCTACTATGTTTTCTCCGAGCTCTTGGGAAGAGAGGATTTATTGTGGAGTAAAAATAAAATCTAAAGCTGGCCTTGTACTAGGCATGGTGGCTCACACTTGTAATCCTAGCACTTTGGGAGGCTGAGGCAGGTAGATCACCTGAGGTCAGGAGTTTGAGACCAGCCTGGCCAACATGGTGAAACCCTGTCTGTACTAAAAATATAAAAATTAGCAGGGCATGGTAGTGCATGTCTATAATCCCAGCTACTCAGGAGATGGAGGCATGAGAATTGTTGGAACCTAGGAGGTGGAGGTTGCAGTGAGTTGAGATCATGCCACTGCACTCCAGCCTGGGCAACAGAGCAAGACCCTGTATCAATAAATAAAATAAAATAAAATTTAAAAGTTGGTCTTCTGGATGCCTGAATCCTGAGGTGACCCAGGTTTGGGACCTTCCAACACATCCCAGGTCTGCCTCTCATTTAAAAGAATTGCTGAGAGGTGTTGCATTACTTAGAAATGCTTTTGGTTGCTGAGTAATAAAATGACTGACAATTGGAGTTTTTTATTGCATGAACAAATACAAATTCTTTCCTTTCCTCTGGAGTTCAGAACTAATTGTGAAATAGAGGAATCAGATAGAGATCAAAATGCCAGCTTTATTACTTATAAGCTGATTAGAGAATACAGTTTTAGCTTTGTTTCCAAAAGGGCTTATATTCACTTTACCCTGAATTAGGACTTTGCTACTGCATTAGTTTTTCTATTGCTGTGTAACAAATGGCTACAAACATAGAAGCTTACCACAACGCTTTTAAATGGCCTTCTTGCACCAGCATTTAGAATGTTTAATTTTGCTCTCAGAAGATGTTCAGAAACAAAGGAAAGGTAAAAGTTAAGGTGCCAAATTATTTGCAGATGTGTGTAATAACCAAATCTAAATGAAACTAAAATAAGAATGCTTATAATTTTCCTTTCCTTTTTTTTTAAGTAAATATGAGGTTTCACTATATTAGCCAGGCTTATTTGGAACTCCTGGCCTCAGGTGATCCATCCTCCTTGACCTCCCCAAGTGCTGGGATTACAGGTTTGAGCCACCACATCCAGCCGTACAAAATTTTTAAGCCAGATGTGCATACCAAATGAAATGTTAGACTAGATGTACAGAAAGAACCAAAAGTGAATTCATCAGAAAAGACATGCCATAAAGACAGAATGTAAATTCTGTAGAAATCAGAGTACTCAATGCAGAAGGATACTTTTATTTATATCAGAAACTGCTTGGCAACAAACTAATCAACCAACCAGCAAACAAACAAACACACCTTTGGTGGACCCAAGAGGGATGTAACATTCTTTACTTAAGGCAGCCTTTTAGCCAAATTAAATCACCTGTAAAGTCAGAAAGAACTCACCAAAGGGAGGGAGTCTGAGAATCTGAGAGGAGATTCATCCAGACAGAAGAGGAAATGGACAGAGGCAGAGAGCAGAAAGGGCTCAGTCAGTACTGCAGTCAGTTCCAGGGACCTCTTATTTCTCTGAGGTGTACTCACTTTGATCCCACTTCTGACACCATTTATGTCACCCTAAATAACAGAGAGAGGCCCATTGAAAGAAAATAATATTTATTCAGAAATGGGCACTGCAGTGGTAACATACCTGCCACTTTAAACTATGTGTGCATTCAAGGAGGTAAAGCAAAAAAAAAAAAAGTTTTTAAAGGAAAAATGAGGAGGATTATATAGTTGTTTTGAGATAATTATCCTTGGCCACAAGGATCAATTACAAGGGTGATGCCAGTCTAAGTTTGGACAGGCAGTTGCTGGGTAGATGTCTACACAGAAATACTTTTCTGTGTAAGGCTGTGATGGCTTTTGTGCAAGGTTATAGTTTTTGCATTCTTTTATGATAGCTCTTGTAATCAGGCATTTATTCATTAGAACACTTCCTTCCTGGCTTTCTCTGACTCTGTTTCTCAGGGTTTTAAACACAAGTAATCCCATTTTGATTCTGACAATTTTCATACTCCCAACATTGATTAATAATGGGTTAAGAATTTGGACCCTTATCTCACATAACAAGAAGCCTGGAGGTATGTTGATTGAGGCTTGTGCTATCAGCTGCACAATGTCAGGTGTATCCAGATTTGTTACCCTATTCTTTCTGCTCTGTTTTCCTTGGCATGGTGGCTCATCATCCTGAGACTTGTCACTCACATTGCAAGATGACTGCTTCATGATCAAATAGCATGTTTTGACCCAACCTCATGTCAGGAAACACAAAAGAAACTCCCTTAAAATTTTATTTTTAGAGCAGTTGCATCTTCACAGCAAAATTGAGAGGAAGTACAGGGATATCCCATATCCTCTTACCCCCACACATGCATAGTCTCCCTCATTATCAACATTCCCCACCAGACTGGTACATTTGCTACAATTTATGAACCTGCATTGATGCGTCATTATCACCTACTGTCCATAGTTTACATTAGGGTTCACTCTTGGTGTTGTAGAATCTATGGATTTGGACAAATTTATGATGACCTGCATCTACCATTATAGTATCATACATAACATTTCACTCTCCTAAAAATCCTCTGTTCATCTGTCCCGCTCCCCTATGCTTGACTACTCATAT